GTTTCCTCCTCCGCTGGGGATCGAGCCCGGAACCTCAGGCCAACGAATCAGGCCCCATATTCCCGACAATAGCAGTCACACTATTCAACAGATGTAAACAAAGCCGCCATGACTGAGGCAAGGCGCACAGGAACGTGGATGACCCCTGACCCCTGGTGGCACTGACCATGACCCCTGACCCTTGGTGGCACTGACCCTGACCCCTGGTGGCACTGACCATGACCCCTGACCCCTGGTGGCACTGACCATGACCCATGACCCCCTAACCGCTTGGTGGCACTGACCATGATACCGAAGACGCCGCCGTTGGTGTAGGTGGCACCTCGCCCCATGGCACTGCTGCCTGCTCCAGGAGGGCCGGGAGGGCCAGGGGGTCCTCTCTCACCCTTGTCACCCTTAATTCCGGATACATCGTAGGCGTGGGTGGTGTCCCTGGCCGCTGTGAAGGGTCCTGTGCATGTTAGGTGGCAGGGGGGAAGGGGTAGGAGGAAGAAGGGGAAGGGTAGAGGGGATAAGGGGGCGTAAAGAAGGGGAGGAAATGGGCCAAAGGGTGAGGGAGAGGTGAGGGGACAGTGTCGAACGTGACAATGAGGGGAAAGAAAGAGAAAAACGTTATTCTTGTAGCCAGTAATGGGTGTACTAATGGGTGTAGGGAGAGACTATTACTGATACTGCTAGCAGCACTAGCACCATTGGGTGTAGGGAGAACACTAAGAACATTAAGACTACGAACATTAACACTAAGAACATTAACACTAAGAACATTAAGAACTTCCGGTTCACTGCCCACTGAAGCTTCAGCTAGCTATTTCATATGATTAATAGTGCTATTTATTTACAAAATGATTTGTTGTAATGTTTAAATTGTTATTATCCCTATCAATTATTCCTACTTCTGAGACCCCCTGCACTCATGGCACGGTACGGGTACGCAAGGGTACTACCAGGTACACAAGGGTACTACCAGGTACACAAGGGTACTACCAGGTACACAAGGGTACTACCAGGTACACAAGGGTACTACCAGGTACACAAGGGTACTACCAGGTACACAAGGGTACTACCAGGTACACAAGGGTACTACCAGGTACACAAGGGTACTACCAGGTACACAAGGGTACTCCCAGGTATACAATGGTACTACCAGGTACACAGAGCTAAAACACACAGGCACACATTATAAAGTGTTAATGCTATGCTAATCATTCAGACTCATGAGCACAAGGGAAGGATCGGGGCTGGGAGGAAGGGCTGGGGGGAAGGGCTGGGGGGAAGGGCTGGGAGGAAGGGCTGGGGGGAAGGGCTGGGGGGTTGCCAGTGATGGTAAGGAGTCGCTCACCTTGTCCTGACTGTGGTCCTGGTGGTCCTGGTGGTCCTGGGGGACCCTGGGGACCTCGCAAGCCTCGCTCCCCGTCCACACCTGCATCACCCTTCTGGCCCTGCAGTGTTGGAGCAAAAAAAGTGTTTCAGTCTAGTGGATATTGTTTGCTTGGGTGACCCGACCATGGGGGGGGGCAATTGACCTAGGGTGACCTGACCAGAGGGGACAATTGACCTAGGGTGACCTGACCAGGGGGGTACAATAGACCTAGGGTGACCTGACCAGGGGGGACAATATACCTAGGGTGACCTGACCAGGGGGGACAATATACCTAGGGTGACCTGACCAGAGGGGACAATTGACCTAGGGTGACCTGACCAGAGGGGACAATTGACCTAGGGTGACCTGACCAGAGGGGACAATTGACCTAGGGTGACCTGACCAGGGGGGACAATATACCTAGGGTGACCTGACCAGGGGGGACAATATACCTAGGGTGAATCGTACCTTAATTTCAATAAGAGTGCCGTTGGCAAGCATGATGGGTCCTGGGGGTCCTGTCTCACCCTTCTGTCCCGGCTGTCCGTCACGTCCTACAGGTCCCTGCTCCCCGGCGTCACCCTGTGGGAAGACACACACACTTATACACACACTTCGAGACCTGGAACTTTAAGAGTCATAGATTTAAACTAGCTAAACACAGATGCCGAAGAAATATAAGAAAATTCACTTTCGCAAACAGAGTGGTAGACGGTTGGAACAAGTTAGATGAGCAGGTGGTGGAGGCCAAGACCGTCAGTAGTTTCAAAGCGTTATACGACAAAGAGTGTCGGGAAGACGGGACACCACGAGCGTAGCTCTCATCCTGTAACTACACTTAAGTAATTACTTCACACTCAAGCAATGGGATGGGAATAATGAGAAATAATGTATTCACAGTATCTTACAGTCTGGGGGTTACTGAAGTGGCTAGTTCTGTAATCATTATTGTAGTAGTTGGCACTTAACCAATAACCACGAACAACAGCATACTGCGAGGCGCAATGATATAAATAATGATGTCAACAGGACGGAACTAGGAGCTCCTGAAGCAAATATCTCCAGAAGCACTTTTCCTTTCCCACGGAGACTGTCATTACGAGAAAAACTAATTTTTTAGTAAAGTAACTGCAAGGTAACGCAGATATTACTACCTGTGTTATTATCTTTATGTATCCTTGCTGGTAACGTATTGACAGAGGTTCTACCCTCCCTTTCTCTCTCTCATCTCTCTCTTATCTCCCTTTCTCCCTCCCTCCCTCTCTCCCTCTCTCCCTTGCCCCTCACAACTCACCACGGGTCCTGGACCGCCTGGGTACCCTGGGGGTCCTGTGGGTCCCTGGCGACCTTCCTCGCCCTTAGGTCCTGCAGGTCCGGGACTTCCTGGGATCCCGTCAGCCCCCCTCGGCAGCACCACCTCGATCTTCTTGGCGACTGTCAGGGAAGAAGTGTCCCTGTTAGTGGCAGGGGAAGACATCATTGCCCCAACTCCACCTTCCCTAACTCAATTTTACCCATTTCCTTTACCCAGTTCCTTTCCACACTACTTACTCTCTCTGAAGTCGGTCATGTGTGAGGGGTTGGTGTCGACGAAGACCTGAAGTGAAGTGAGGACCATGGTTCGAACCTCCTCCGGGGAGTAGAACTGGCTGCCCTTGTCTCCCTGGGCGCCCTTGGGCCCTGGCCGTCCCCGCCCCGGTAGCCCGCGGTCACCTGCGGCAGGAGAGGAGTGACACCACCACTTCAACATGGTTTATCAGGCGAGAGAGAGAGAGAGAGAGAGAGAGAGAGAGAGAGAGAGAGAGAGAGAGAGAGAGAGAGAGAGAGAGAGAGAGAGAGAGAGAGAGAGATACAGAGTTTTAAAGTACATTCGCATGAAATAAAGGAGTTTCTAGGAGCAGGCTTCAGATGAGCTGAGGTAGGATAACAGCTCTTCCTTGCAGTTTCACTAGGTACGTCATTTGACAGCCCTTATGAACCCTAGTCTTAATTTAAAATCACTTGAGGTTGCACCCGAGAAGAGAGCATCGCTAAGTATAGCTTCAAGATGAATACCGCGAAGCGTCTCCTTGGCTCCATCCATCATTATATTTCCACAATCAGTAATGTGCAATTATTGAAATGTAAACTTCAGTTCGCTGAATGTGTTTAACATTCCATTAATATGTAACTGTATCTTAGGAAATCCAAAGTGAAAATGTTTTGGGCAAAAAATACAAAATTAGCCCGAGAAATATCACAATATTTCATTAGTGATGATATATGACCTAAATGATTAACTAAGAGTCGTAGCTGTGATTTATATATTCCCTAATGTTGCTTAAGTAAGGTCGGGGTCGAGTTTCTGAATATATTAGTTAAATCTAATTAATGTTGTGGAGCTGACAAGATGGATTAGGAGTACTTAGGGAAAGGATCAAGTCTAACATGAAGACACATTACAGGTAAAAAGAGATCAGATCCCACAAGGAGCAACATAAAGAGATCAGATCCCATAAGGAGCAACATGAAGGGATCAGATCCCATAAGGAGCAACATAAAGGGATCAGATCCCATAAGGAGCAACATGAAGGGATCAGATCCCACAAGGAGCAACATAAAGAGATCAGATCCCACAAAGAACTTCATTAAAACCAATCACGTGAACACTGACCTTTCTGCCCCTTGTGGCCAGGGGTTCCAGGCAGCCCGTCGACTCCTGGGGGCCCTCGGGTCCCCTTGTTCCCCAGACGTCCGCTAGGTCCCTGGGGTCCCTGGGGGAGAGTGAGGGCTGTTAGTGTTGGCAGGGGGGGGGTGTAACACTCCTTACGGGGTCCTGTACAACAACCCATACAATAAAATCCTATGTAACATTACGTCCACTAAAGTCTTGTGTAACACCATGTACAGTAAAGTCCTACATAACACCACGTATAATATAGTTCTACATAGCACCACGCACAATAAAGTCCTCTGTACGCATAGTAAAGTCCTGTGTAATAGTGTGTACAGCAAAGTCCTGTGTAACAATACAATGCAAATAACAGTAGTCGACATGTTGATATAATTCCAGCTATCACAAGTCACTGGGTTTCGATTGTCTTTTCAAAGGCCTTCATTGTCCACAATTACACTACTCATTCTCTACTTGTTGTGTATCTCTGCATTATATTATGGTATTACATCTATCGCTGTGTATCTCTGCATTATATTATGGTATTACATCTATCGCTGTGTATCTCTGGTTTATATTATAGAATTTCATCTATCAGTGTGTGTGTGTGTCTGCTTTATAAAATGGAATTATATCTATCAGCATGTATGTCTACTTTATGTATTGCATCTATTAGTGTGTGTCTCTGCTTTATACTATAATATTATATCTACAGCTTGTATCTCCATTTTATACTATGGTATTACATCTATCACCGTGTATTTGTACTTTATACTATGATATATCTATCAGCACGTATCTCGTGCTTTACACTATGGTAATACATACATCAATTTGTTATCTTTAAACAAGTTCATTTGTGTAAATGAACTTTTAGAAGTGTGCTGAATTGCGGTAAAAATTTGATTAATATAACAAATTCTGCTCTGTAAATAATCGGAAAATAGTTGTCAAAGTTAAGATTTTTATTATTATTATTGAGAAAATCCACTTGGGCTTTGAGGTGGGCGCGACCCAAGGCATTGCCAAGCCCCAAGGCATTGCCAAGCCCCAAGGCATTGCCAAGCCCCAAGGCATTGCCAAGCCCCAAGGCATTGCCAAGCCCCAAGGCATTGCCAAGCCCCAAGGCATTGCCAAGCCCCAAGGCATTGCCAAGCCCCAAGGCATTGCCAAGCCCCAAGGCATCGCCACGCCCCATACCCTACCATTATTATGCGTGAATATTATTAAGTTTGTCCAGTACTAACCTCTTCGCCTTTTTGACCTTTAAGACCTTGATGACCGCGGTCGCCCTTAGGTCCAGCGTATCCTCTAGGACCCCTTGGCCCTGCGGCTCCAGGAGTGCCAGGAGGGCCCTGGGCCTCGAGGTCTGGCCCCTGCGCCTCCAAGACGACGGTCTCTCCAGCAGGCTGTTGGTGGTGTTGATTGGTGCAGTGTGAGGTAAGGGGTATGAGGTGAAGGGAAATGTTCATTACTTGAGTTCACACTAAGGGCAACATTCCCAGAATACCCGACCTGAGAGAGCAATGTCTGTGACCTTTATGATTTGTATAAATATATTTAAATTCTGGGTGAAGGTGACTAGATGTGGAGGACCCCAGACTGGTGCAGGTGTGTAGGATCCCAGACTGGTGCAGGTGTGGGGGACCCCAGACTGGTGCAGGTGTGGCGGACCCCAGACTGGTGCAGGTGTGTAGGATCCCAGACTGGTACAGGTGTGGGGGACCCCAGACTGGTGCAGGTGTGGGGGACCCCAGACTGGTGCAGGTGTGTAGGATCCCAGTCTGGTGCAGGTGTGGGAGACCCCAGACTGGTGCAGGTGTGGGGGACCCCAGACTGGTGCAGGTGTGGGGGACCCCAGACTGGTGCAGGTGTGGGGGACCCCAGACTGGTGCAGGTGTGGGGGACCCCAGACTGGTGCAGGTGTGGAGGACCCCAGACTTGTGCAGGTGTGGAGGACCCCAGACTGGTGCAGGTGTGGAGGACCCCAGACTGGTGCAGGTGTGGGGGACCCCAGACTGGTGCAGGTGTGTAGGATCCCAGACTGGTGCAGGTGTGGGGAACCCCAGACTGGTGCAGGTGTGGCGGACCCCAGACTGGTGCAGGTGTGTAGGATCCCAGACTGGTGCAGGTGTGGGGGACCCCAGACTGGTGCAGGTGTGGCGGACCCCAGACTGGTGCAGGTGTGGGGGACCCCAGACTGGTGCAGGTGTGGGGGACCCCAGACTGGTGCAGGTGTGTAGGATCCCAGTCTGGTGCAGGTGTGGGGGACCCCAGACTGGTGCAGGTGTGGGGGACCCCAGACTGGTGCAGGTGTGGGGGACCCCAGACTGGTGCAGGTGTGGGGGACCCCAGACTGGTGCAGGTGTGGGGGACCCCAGACTGGTGCAGGTGTGGAGGACCCCAGACTTGTGCAGGTGTGGCGGACCCCAGACTGGTGCAGGTGTGTAGGATCCCAGACTGGTGCAGGTGTGGGGGACCCCAGACTGGTGCAGGTGTGGGGGACCCCAGACTGGTGCAGGTGTGGGGGACCCCAGACTGGTGCAGGTGTGGGGGACCCCAGACTGGTGCAGGTGTGTAGGAACCCAGTCTGGTGCAGGTGTGGGGGACCCCAGACTGGTGCAGGTGTGGGGGACCCCAGACTGGTGCAGGTGTGGGGGACCCCAGACTGGTGCAGGTGTGGGGGACCCCAGACTGGTGCAGGTGTGGGGGACCCCAGACTGGTGCAGGTGTGGAGGACCCCAGACTTGTGCAGGTGTGGAGGACCCCAGACTGGTGCAGGTGTGAAGGATCCCAGACTGGTGCAGGTGTGGGGGACCCCAGACTGGTGCAGGTGTGGGGGACCCCAGACTTGTGCAGGTGTGGGGGACCCCAGACTGGTGCAGGTGTGTAGGATTCCAGTCTGGTGCAGGTGTGGGGGACCCCAGACTGGTGCAGGTGTGGGGGACCCCAGACTGGTGCAGGTGTGGGGGACCCCAGACTGGTGCAGGTGTGGGGGACCCCAGACTGGTGCAGGTGTGGGGGACCCCAGACTGGTGCGGGTGTGGAGGACCCCAGACTTGTGCAGGTGTGGAGGACCCCAGACTGGTGCAGGTGTGTAGGATCCCAGACTGGTGCAGGTGTGGGGGACCCCAGACTGGTGCAGGTGTGGGGGACCCAAGACTGGTGCAGGTGTGTAGGATCCCAGACTGGTGCAGGTGTGGGGGACCCCAGACTAGTGCAGGTGTGGGGGACCCCAGACTGGTGCAGGTGTGTAGGATTCCAGACTGGTGCAGGTGTGGGGGACCCCAGACTGGTGCAGGTGTGGGGGACCCCAGACTGGTGCAGGTGTGGGGGACCCCAGACTGGTGCAGGTGTGGGGGACCCCAGACTGGTGCAGGTGTGTAGGATCCCAGTCTGGTGCAGGTGTGGGGGACCCCAGACTGGTGCAGGTGTGGGGGACCCCAGACTGGTGCAGGTGTGGGGGACCCCAGACTGGTGCCGGTGTGGAAGACCCCAGACTGGTGCAGGTGTGGAGGACCCCAGACTGGTGCAGGTGTGGATCCCAGACTGGTGCAGGTGTGGGGGCCCCCAGACTGGTGCAGGTGTGTAGGATCCCAGACTGGTGCAGGTGTGGGGGACCCCAGACTGGTGCAGGTGTGGAGGACCCCAAACTGGTGCAGGTGTGGAGGACCCCAGACTAGTGCAGGTGTGGGGGACCCCAGACTGGTGCAGGTGTGGGGGACCCCAGACTGGTGCAGGTGTGTAGGATCCCAGACTGGTGCAGGTGTGGGGGACCCCAGACTGGTGCAGGCGTGGGGGACCCCAGACTGGTGCAGGTGTGTAGGATCCCAGACTGGTGCAGGTGTGGGGGACCCCAGACTGGTGCAGGCGTGGAGGACCCCAGACTGGTTTAGGTGTGGAGGACCCCAAACTGATGTAGGTGTGGGGGACCCCAGACTGGAGCAGGTGTGGAGGACCCCAGACTGGTGCAGGTGTGGAGGACCCCAGACTGGTGCAGGTGTGGAGGACCCCAGACTGGTGTAGGTGTGGGGGACCCCAGACTGGTGCAGGCGTGGGGGACCCCCAGACTGGTGCAGGTGTGGAGGACCCCAGACTGGTGCAGGTGTGGAGGACCCCAGACTGGTGCAGGTGTGGAGGACCCCAGACTGGTGCAGGTGCGGAGGACCCCAGACTGGTGCAGGTGTGGAGGACCCCCAGACTGGTGCAGGTGTGGAGAACCCCCAGACTGGTGCAGGTGTGGGGGACCCCAGACTGGTGCAGGTGTGGCGGACCCCAGACTGGTGCAGGTGTGGGGGACCCCAGACTGGTGCAGGTGTGGGGGACCCCAGACTGGTGCAGGTGTGGGGGACCCCAGACTGGTGCAGGTGTGGGGGACCCCCAGACTGGTGCAGGTGTGGGGGACCCCAGACTGGTGCAGGTGTGGGGGACCCCAGACTGGTGCAGGTGTGGGGGACCCCAGACTGGTGCAGGTGTGGGGGACCCCAGACTGGTGCAGGTGTGGGGGACCCCAGACTGGTGCAGGTGTGGGGGACCCCAGACTGGTGCAGGTGTGGGGGACCCCAGACTGGTGCAGGTGTGGGGGACCCCAGACTGGTGCAGGTGTGGGGGACCCCAGACTGGTGCAGGTGTGGGGGACCCCAGACTGGTGCAGGTGTGGGGGACCCCAGACTGGTGCAGGTGTGGGGGACCCCAGACTGGTGCAGGTGTGGGGGACCCCAGACTGGTGCAGGTGTGGGAGACCCCAGACTGGTGCAGGTGTGGGGGACCCCAGACTGGTGCAGGTGTGGGGGACCCCAGACTGGTGCAGGTGTGGGGGACCCCAGACTGGTGCAGGTGTGGGGGACCCCAGACTGGTGCAGGTGTGGGGGACCCCAGACTGGTGCAGGTGTGGGGGACCCCAGGCCACGGGTACTCACCAACAACAGGTTATCTTAACTATAAGTGTTGGTTGAGCAACACTGGTTAATATAGGTCAATGTTCGTTATCTTAGGTTAGTACAGATTACTGAAGACCTTGGTAGTGGGTGATGACCCTGGGTGGTGGAGGGAGGGAGGGCAGCTGGGAAGGTGGGAGGGAGGGCAGCTGGGAGGGAGGGAGGGAGGGAGGGCAGCAGGGAGGGAGGGCAGCTGGGAGGGAGGGAGGGAGGGCAGCTGGGAAGGTGGGAGGGAGGGCAGTTGGGAGGGAGGGAGGGAGGGCAGTTGGGAGGGAGGGAGGGAGGGCAGCAGGGCTGGAGGACACGGGAGGGAGGGAGGGAGGGAGGGTGAACAAGAGAGACTCACCTGGTAGCCAGAGTGGAGCTGCCATCCAGGCTGGGAGGGGGAAGGAACCCGTCCGCCGCCACAGGACCCCAAGAGACAGACAAACACAAACAGTTAACACAATAAAGCTCTCATGACCTCATAATATAAAGTATCACAGGCCATTACAGTGTTAGTCGCCCTCAGCTAAATTTACATTGGGTCATACCTATATACTGTATAGCTCTACTATATACTATATACTGAGTATAGCTGAGGGTGGCGAGGCTGCCACCTTCAGGAAGACGCAGGAAACTAAAGTACAAGAGTGTAGAACATTGTTAACGCTTCGTGCCAAGAGGCTCCGAGACCCCCTGGGCGCCTGGGGGAGTTCCTCAAGGAGGTGGGTGAGGAACTCATTAAGTAAATCAGAGACCCAAGAGCGGCCAGTTTCCCGTTCCAGCGTCTCAGTGTTGCGATGCAGAGAGAAATCGTGGGCACGCACCCCATCCCCTGAAGAGCTAGGGGAGGTTTCCCAATAAACTAAACGAGTCCTCAAGGGCTCGAACCTATGCCACCATAGTGGGAGATCGGCACTATGCACACTCTACCAATGGTAGCATCACAGGTGTGGTATGGTGCTAGGACCTACACGGGGCCAACACCCCGCTACACCACCGGACACCAGGGGCCAGATTCATGAAGCAGTTACACAAGCACTTACGAACCTGTCCATCTTTTCTCAATCTTTGGCGGCTTTGTTTACAATTATTAAACAGTTAATGAGCTCCGAAGCACTAGGAGGCTGTTCATAACAATAACAACAGTTGATTGGCAAGTTTTCATGCTTGTAAACGGTTTAATAAATGTAACCAAAGCCGTCAAAGATTGAGGAAAGATGTACACGTTCGCAAGTGCTTGCGTAACTGCTTCGTGAATCTGGCCCCTGGAGACACAGATCTCAGAGATCCATTGAGCATGCTGAGAACCTTAAGGTACGTCTCCATGTACAGCAGTAAATATACATATATATACACAGACACACATGCCACATACAAATACGCAGACACATTTACATAGACACATACAATAGACACATCTTCAAAGACACACATCTACACAGACAGATGTAGGATGGGGGGGGTGATTAATATATGAAAGTGCCAAGCCATTACGACTATATAACACTTGGAAAGAGTCAGGATATGAATTTGGGATAGGACGGATGGAAGGAATGGTGCCCAACCACTTGGACGGTCGGGAATTGAACGCCGACCTGCGCGAAGCGAGACCGTCGCTCTACCGTCCAGCCTAAATGTAGGAGCCGAACCTGAACCCCGTGCAGCACAGGCAGCACAATAACACGACCCCCTCCACCACTCACCGTCTTTGTATCGTCAGCGCCCCAGGTCCAGCCTCGAGGTCCTGGTGGACCAGGGAGTCCTGGAGGACCTACAGGTCCCGCCAGGCCGTCGACCCCGGGTTCGCCCTTGGGTCCTTGGAGTCCCTCAGGGCCAGGAGCGCCTACCTCTCCCCGATCTCCCCGCTCTCCTCTCCTCCCGGGCAGTCCTCGTTCGCCCTGGGGTCCTGGCGTGCCCTGGGCCATACAAACACAAATATAACACAATGCTACCATCGCTCTTGTACCTACAAACCCTTAAAAGTAACTTGAAACTCTATGCGTCTTTAGGCTTCTGCCCTTTAAGGTATATAATCTATCTGATTTAGTTTCCAATGCGCATACAACAGATCCCCTACCCATGTAGACTCCTACCCATGTAGACCCCTACCCATGTAGACCCCTACCCATGTAGACTCCTACCCATGTAGACCCCTACCCATGTAGACTCCTACCCATGTAGACCCCTACCCATGTAGACTCCTACCCATGTAGACTCCTACCCATGTAGACTCCTGCCCATGTAGACTCCTACACATGTAGACCCCTACCCATGTAGACTCCTACCCATGTAGACCCCTACCCATGTAGACTCCTACCCATGTAGACTCCTACCCATGTAGACCCCTACCCATGTAGACTCCTACCCATGTAGACTCCTACCCATGTAGACCCCTACCCATGTAGACCCCTACCCATGTAGACTCCTACCCATGTAGACCCCTACCCATGTAGACTCCTACCCATGTAGACTCCTACCCATGTAGACCCCTACCCATGTAGACTCCTACCCATGTAGACTCCTACCCATGTAGACTCCTACCCATGTAGACCCCTACCCATGTAGACCCCTACCCATGTAGACTCCTACCCATGTAGACCCCTACCCATGTAGACCCTTACCCATATAGACCCCTACCCATGTAGACCCCTACCCATGTAGACCCATACCGATGTAGACTCCTACCCATGTACTCACCTAGTTGTGTTTGCGGGGGTTGAGCTCTGGCTCTTTGGTCCCGCCTCTCAACCGTCAATCAACAGGTGTACAGATTCATGAGCCTATCGGGCTCTGTCATATCTACACTTGAAACTGTGTATGGAGTCAGCCTCCACCACATCACTTCCTAATGCATTCCATTTGTCAACCACTCTGACACTAAAAAAGTTCTTTCTAATATCTCTGTGGCTCATTTGGGCACTCAGTTTCCACCTGTGTCCCCTTGTGCGTGTTCCCCTTGTGTTAAATAGGCTGTCTTTATCTACCCTATCAATCCCCTTCAGAATCTTGAATGTGGTGATCATGTCCCCCCTAACTCTTCTGTCTTCCAGCGAAGTGAGGTTTAATTCCCGTAGTCTCTCCTCGTAGCTCATACCTCTCAGCTCGGGTACTAGTCTGGTGGCAAACCTTTGAACCTTTTCCAGTTTAGTCTTATCCTTGACTAGATATGGACTCCATGCTGGGGCTGCATACTCCAGGATTGGCCTGACATATGTGGTATACAAAGTTCTGAATGATTCTTTACACAAGTTTCTGAATGCCGTTCGTATGTTGGCCAGCCTGGCATATGCCGCTGATGTTATCCGCTTGATATGTGCTGCAGGAGACAGGTCTGGCGTGATATCAACCCCCAAGTCTTTTTCCTTCTCTGACTCCTGAAGAATTTCCTCTCCCAGATGATACCTTGTATCTGGCCTCCTGCTCCCTACACCTATCTTCATTACATTACATTTGGTTGAGTTAAACTCTAACAACCATTTGTTCGAATATTCCTTCAGCTTGTCTAGGTCTTCTTGAAACCTCAAACAGTCCTCTTCTGTTTTAATCCTTCTCATAATTTTAGCATCGTCCGCAAACATTGAGAGAAATGAATCGATACCCTCCGGGAGATCATTTACATATATCAGAAACAAGATAGGACCGAGTACAGAGCCCTGTGGGACTCCACTAGTGACTTCACGCCAATCGGAGGTCTCACCCCTCACCGTAACTCTCTGCTTCCTATTGCTTAGATACTCCCTTATCCACTGGAGCACCTTACCAGCTACACCTGCCTGTCTCTCCAGCTTATGTACCAGCCTCTTATGCGGTACTGTGTCAAAGGCTTTCCGACAATCCAAGAAAATGCAGTCCGCCCAGCCCTCTCTTTCTTGCTTAATCTGTGTCACCTGATCGTAGAATTCTATCAAGCCTGTAAGGCAAGATTTACCCTCCCTGAATCCATGTTGGCGATTTGTCACGAAGTCCCTTCTCTCCAGATGTGTTACCAGGTTTTTTCTCACGATCTTCTCCATCACCTTGCATGGTATACAAGTCAAGGACACTGGCCTGTAGATCAGTGCCTCTTGTCTGTCGCCCTTTTTGTATATTGGGACCACATTCTAGTGACTTACTATACACTATGGAGAGTGGCAGGCAAAGTGCCTCTGCACACTCTTTCAGTACCCATGGTGAGATCCCATCTGGACCAACAGCCTTTCTAACATCCAGATCCAGCAGGTGTCTCTTGACCTCCTCTCTCGTAATTTCGAACTCCTCCAAGGCCGCCTGGTTTACCTCCCTTTCTCCTAGCACAGTGACCTCACCCTGTTCTATTGTGAAGACCTCCTGGAACCTCTTGTTGAGTTCCTCACACACCTCTCTGTCATTCTCTGTATACCTGTCCTCGCCTGTTCTAAGTTTCAATACCTGTTCTTTCACTGTTGTTTTCCTTCTGATGTGACTGTGGAGTAGCTTTGGTTCGGTCTTGGCTTTGTTTGCTATATTATTTTCAAAATTTTTCTCTGCTTCTCTTCTCACCCTGACGTACTCATTCCTGGTTCTCTGGTATCTCTCTCTGCTTTCTGGTGTTCTGTTATTCCGGAAGTTCCTCCACGCCTTTTTGTTCAGTTTCTTCGCTTCCATACATGCCTTATTATACCATGGATTCTTCTGTTGCTTCTCGGATTTTTCCCTTTGGGCCGGGATGAACCTGTTTACTGCCTCCTGACACTTTTGGGTAACATAGTCCATCATACCCTGTACAGACTTGTCTCTGAGGTCTGTGTCCCAAGGTATTTCACTTAGGAAACTTCTCATCTGTTCATAATTCCCCTTTCGGTATGCCAGCCTTTTGATTCCTAGTTCTTTTTGGGGGGAGATAAGTCCTAGCTCTACCAGGTACTCAAAGTTCAATACACTGTGGTCACTCATTCCCAAGGGCGCTTCCATCTTAACTTCCCTTATATCCCATTCATTTAGGGTAAATATCAAATCAAGCATTGCTGGTTCATCTTCTCCTCTCATTCTTGTTGGTTCTTTGGTGTGCTGGCTTAGAAAGTTTCTTGTTGCCACGTCCAGCAGCTTAGCTCTCCATGTTTCTGGTCCTCCATGCGGGTCTCTGTTCTTCCAATCTATCTTCCCATGGTTGAAGTCTCCCATAATTAGTAGTCCAGATCCATTCCTGCTAGCAACAGAAGCTGCTCTTTCTATTATGTTAATGGTGGCCATGTTGTTTCTATCATATTCCTGTCTAGGTCTTCTGTCATTTGGTGGTGGATTATATATGACTGCGACTATAATTTTTTTTCCCTCCATTTGTTACAGTACCTGCTATGTAGTCACTGAAACCTTCGCAGCCCTGAATATCCATCTCCTCAAAATCCCAGCCTTGTCTTACCAGCAGAGCTACACCACCCCCACCTCTTCCTTCCCTCTCTTTCCTCATAACATAATAGTCCTGTGGGAACACTGCATTTGTTATCGTTTTCGTGATCTTTGTTTCTGTGAGGGCTATTATGTCTGGGTTTTCCTCTAGTACCAGTTCTCCAAGCTCATTTGCTTTATTTGTAATTCCATCTATGTTTGTGTACATCGCTTTGAGGCTCACTTTCTTCTGTCCCTTCTCGAATCGCCTCCTTGGTGAGTGTTCTGCTGGTGGGGGAGGCTGTTCCATGGGTGTGAGGACCTGTGAGGTGGATAACAGGGTCTCAGAGGATACTGGGATGAGGGGCGCGGGATCCAGTGAAGGGGGAGGGACAGGGAGGGTATGGGGTGAAAGGGGAGGGAGGACGGGAAGGAAAGGGGGGGAGGGAGGACTCGGGAGGAGGGGAGGGGTAGAAGGGTGGGGATTTGGTGTGGGGGGAGGGAGATTTTGCTGAACATTTGAGTGGGGGCAGGGAGGGTTTGGGGTAGGGGGGTTTTCTATGCAGTGGAGGGAGGCGGGGTTGTCCTCCCTTCTGGTGTTACTGGGTAGCTGGTTGTGGGTTCCCCCCTCGCCTCTGGGGGTGTTGGGTTGGAAGCTGTGACTTCCTGGTTTTCCCCTCTCGCCCTGCGCCTCTTCCTTGCTTCTGCCGCCACGGCTCTCTCTTCCCTTGTCATGTCTCTCTGGAGGAATACATTTTTTAATTTTCCCACGTTTTTCAGGGAGCTCTTCCTTGATAGGATCTTCTCCTTTGTGTTCTCGTTTGCAAACACTATCTTTATCATTCGGTCTCGGTCTTTGTTGTACCGGCCTAGCCAGAAAACCTTCTCAATGCTATGCTCAGCCCCTTCCATGTCTAGTGCCTTTAGTACTTCATTCACTGCTGCTTTGTCCTTGTCACTCCACTCTGTCCTATTAGATCCTTCCTGCTCCTTAATACCCACAGCAACCACTGATCTGTTCCTTTCCAGCAGTTGGCTAGTAGAGCGTGCCGCCTCCTGCGAGGTGGCTGCTTTCATGGCCACCTCCATCACTGCAGTCATTACTTCAGAGTTATTTTTTTTTAGTATTTCCGCAAATGTTGCTTTTATTGTGGCATTCTCATCCAGAAAACTATTACCACCTTCTCCCTGGGTGGTTTTCTGATTTTCAGCCTCGATACCATTTTCTTTGAGGGCTCTAATCTCCTCCTTTGCTGCTGTCAGCTCTCTTTTCAGGTTGCTTATTTCGTTCTTCATTTCCTGCATCATTTCTTGCATCTCACTCTTGATGTCCTCCAGAAACTGGGCGAACATTTCCTTCATCTCGTCACCTTGGCTCTTTCCTGTTCCCCTGGGACCTCTGGCTGCCATGCTTGACCCTGTTGGGATGGGGGAGGGAGAGAGAGAGAGAGAGGAAGAGAGAGAGAAAGAGAGAGAGAGAAAGGGAGTGATAAAGGGAGAGATAAATGGGTGGGTGGGGGGGATCCGACCCTTCCACTGAAGTGAGAAGAAAGTAGAAGGGGAGGGGGGGGAGGAGATGGAGAGAGAGGCGGGAGGGAGAGAGAGGAGAGGGAGAGAGTGGGTGAGGGAGAGAGCGGGTGAGGGAGAGAGCGGGTGAGGGAGAGAGCGGGTGAGGTGTGTGTGTGTGTGTGTGGGCAGAGAGGGAGGGGGAAGGAAAGAGAGGGAGGGAGAGGGGGAGGGAGGGAGAGAGGGAGGGAGAGAGAGAGAGAGAGAGAGAGAGAGAGAGAGAGAGAGAGAGAGAGAGAGAGAGAGAGAGAGAGAGAGAGAGAGAGAGAGAGAGAGAGAGAGAGAGAGAGAGAGAGAGAGAGAGAGAGAGAGAGAGAGAGAGAGAGAGAGCAGGAGAGAGAGAGTGAGGAGAGAGATAGTGGGAGAGAGGAGAGAGGGTGGGAGTGGGAGAGAGGGGGGGGGAAGAGTGCGTGTATGGGGCGATGCGGGGGACTGGGGGTGGGGGGGGGGAAGATGGCGACTAAGTCAGGTCAGGTCCGATGGTGCAGTCAAGATGGGGGGGGGGGGATAGTAAGGTCCTATCCCAGATGCCTTTTCCCCTGACTGGACAATTGTGTGTGTGTGTGTGTGTGCACGCGTGTGTGTGTCTGTTTTAGCGTGTGCACACTTGTGTGCGTGTATGTGTCAAGATATCCCTTATGTGTTACCTCTGCCTAAATGAGCCACTCTGAGATTTTTAAATATATATGATATCCTGAACGAGAATTTGATAATCTTTTACCTCAATCTGTACACCTGATTAATTGACCAGAGAGGGGTACATACCAGTCTGCCTCCCGCTCACACAACCAGATGAACGATGTATGATGACGATGGTTATCCGTCGTTGTCTCCCACTAGGTGATTCACTAAGTGCTGGTAGATTGATGAGGTCGTTCTTCTCTTTCAACACAAAGCTCTGGAGTCAGTCACTGTATCGTTATGTGACAGTTCACTAATTCACTGTACCACTGATCACAGTCACCACTCAACAGCACAATCAGGTAGCTCCACGGCGGGTCGTCCCACCCGGTCAGGTCACACACTTACATGCACCGGTGATGCCCTAGCTCCACTTTTGGTTTCTTCGCCAAATCTTCGCACTATCGCTAGCGATATGACTATGCTATGTTGCACCCTGCTAGCTACACACTGCGAGAGGCCAAATACTATGATCTAGCCTCTATACTCCTTCAATGTCCCGAGAAATTGACGAATTTCCGCGGACCTCACTAATCGCGTGTGTCCCCTACCTTCTCGCTCGCTGTGTGTGACCCCTAGCATGTAGACCCCTACCCATGTAGACTCCTACCCATGTAGACTCCTACCCATGTAGACCCCTACCCATGTAGACTCCTACCCATGTAGACTCCTACCCATGTAGACTCCTACCCATGTAGACTCCTACCCATGTAGACCCCTACCCATGTAGACCCTACCCATGTAGACCCCTACCCATGTAGACTCCTACCCATGTAGACCCCTACCCATGTAGACCCCTACCCATGTAGACCCATACCCATGTAGACTCCTACCCATGTAGACCCATACCCATGTAGACCCCTGAAGTTGGTAACCACTTACGGAGAGTCCGGGAGGACTGGGCTTGCCGTCCCTGCCTGGGGGTCCTGGGGGTCCACGCTGGACCTGAGTCCTCACCAGTCGCATCAGAGCCGACATGTTGCATCCGCACCGGCCGCCCACGCCCACCTCGTCCACCCACTCCTCCTGTGGGCGGAAGAGCCACCTCATCTGTCAGTCCTAATGGTTTAAAGGAGTGATGAGGGATGACAGCATTCACGGGGAAGCCTAAACCACTCGTGATATGCCAGACACAAGATTCAAACATTTCATGAGGCAGAAAATTCTGACGATGCATTAAATACCGAAGAACAGGATTTATAACATTTGTAAACTTTTTTAATTAAGAATAATAATAAAAACCATAACTTATATTAAGATTTAAGGTCAATAATAGCATCATTAATATAAAGAGTATAATAGGCTTGGTCATAATTTCTTCAGCCCCGTTATTGGGACTCATCGTCTGCATAGTATAATTAAATTTAGGTTTGCTTGGATAATGCGGAATTCAAACGCTCCCACGAGTGTAATAGGCTGATTGATCAACAATTTCCCCCCTGACCCACCACAAGATCACAGATAAATGACTTTAGAGTGAATGCGACAAGTAGCCTATGACACAATAGTCAATAGATTGTGTAAATCAGATTGCGTTTATAAGGATCTATAATTTCATGATCTAGTTCCTGTTACATAGTGGACTGTGTAATATTCCCCCCCCCCCACTATAACACTGGAGACTTTACTGACAACAACTGAAGTACTTACTTGGGGAACGAACAGCCCAGATGTCTGAAATGAGAGAGTTGATCTATATATAACTTGATACCGCATGTTAAACACATGTAATAATCTGAATAAAAGACAAATACGTTCTATATAAACAAATGAACAAATCCACAAAGGCTGTGACGAGGTGTGTGTGTGTGTGTGTGTGTGTGTGTGTGTGTGTGTGTGTGTGTGTGTGTGTGTGTGTGTGTGTGTGTGTGTGTGTGTGTGTGTGTGTGTGTGTGTTTGTGTGTGTGTGTGTGTGTGTGTGTGTGTGTGTGTGTGTGTGGGTGTGTGTGTGTGTGTGTGTGTGTGTGTGTGTGTGTGTGTGTGTGTGTGTGTGTGTGTGTGTGTGTGTGTGTGTGTGTGTGTAAATCACGAAAATTAAAAATTAACACGTGATGAAAAACGTGTCAGACCAGGAAGGAAGAATTGAAACAGGAATTTCCTTAAGTACTTTCATATTTAATAATACTTCTTCAGAAGGATGAATTTGCAAGTTAGGATATATATAGGCAAGAAAGAGGTGAAATGAGGTGAAGTACATAGAGCGTGGGATTCAATGGATCAAAAATGGATATAAATAGAAGCTGCATCGTATGGGCCAATAGGCCCTCTGCAGTTACCTTTATTCTTATGTTCTAATGTCTATAATGAGATGGTGAGATAGTGAATATTAAAAAATATTAGTGAGACAAATGTGTATCAATGATCCTACTCAAATCACCCCTTATCTGATCAACCAAAAATGGATCTAAATTATACAAACCACTGTTAATGTTCAGATTACATGATTTTGTAATCTGTATTAAAGCAGAGTCAATTATGTTCCTATTGAAAATCTTTTACAATTCGTTATTGAAGAAGCCATCTCCCAATCAATTTGGTGAGCATCTTCTGTCAGATGAACAAACAAAGCATTAGACAATTGGTCATGTCTTACAGAGTATCTATGTCGCGAAATTCTACATTTCAAATCTTTAGATGTTTGCCCAACATAGAACTTATTACAGTCTTTACAAGGTATTTTATATATGACACAATTATCACTACGAGGACTGTTTCTAATAGTTTACCAACAGTATTTTCGTAGCTAAACAAAACATCAAAAAGCCTTGAAACTTTTTGCTATACATGTATTGTTTAATTACGAAAATCCCGTTGGAAACTATTAGTTAGAAACAGCCCTCGAAATGATAATTGTCACTTGGGTTCTGGTTGGGCAAAACAGTTGCATTTTTTACGGAGTGGAAATAGAGAGACCGAGTCATTTGCCAGGGGTCGCAAAGATCGCCAGGACCAGGGGAGGGGGGATGGAGTGGAGGGGGGGTGATGGGGGGAGCACATTTTCACATCTGTAAGCACCTCATTTAAATTGTTAATGTGCTTGATGGAAGGAGCAATACGACTGTTGAATATAGAAATGAGTAATATACTTCTTGAAATTGACAACGCATCTGTTGACATTGGCAATGCATCTGTTGACATCGGCAACGCACCTGTTGAAAATGGCAATGCATCTGTTGAAATTATCAACTCATCTGGTGACATTGGTAATGCATGTGTTGAAATTGGCAATGAGTTAGGGAAGGTGTCACACCTTCCCTACCGCCACCTAGAACATATGTAAGAACATATCTTACACATTCTTACGACCCCAAAATATTCTCCAGTTGCGCCTCGCAGCGCACCTTCAAGATAAGAATATGGAGAAACACAACAAATCAAAGAAAGATAAGGAGGATCTTCAGAAATAAGAAATAGGTGAGCTGGATGGGGCGCCCCTCCCTCCTAACCCCCCCCCCTTCCTCCCCACACGTGGGGGGGTGAGGAAGGAGAGGGGGCGGCGCCCCCACACCAAGATCCGTCCCCTGATACGAGGGACAGGTGGCTGACTTCTCACCAAGTGTTGGCGTCTTATACTTGGAGTCAATATAGAGTTGCTGAGGTGGAGAGAGGGATGGTCTGTCTCCACGTGGGCCACACTGTCTCACACCACCATGTGGGCCACACTGTCTCACACCACCATGTGGGCCACACTCTCTCACACCACCATGTGGGCCACACTCTCTCACACCACCATGTGGGCCACACTGTCTCACACCTCCATGTGGGCCACACTGTCTCACACCTCCATGTGGGCCACACTGTCTCACACCTCCATGTGGGCCACACTGTCTCACACCACCATGTGGGCCACACTCTCTCACACCACCATGTGGGCCACACTGTCTCACACCACCATGTGGGCCACACTGTCTCACACCACCATGTGGGCCACACTGTCTCACACCACCATGTGGGCCACACTGTCTCACACCACCATGTGGGCCACACTGTCTCACACCACCATGTGGGCCACACTGTCTCACACCACCATGTGGGCCACACTGTCTCACACCACCATGTGGGCCACACTCTCTCACACCACCATGTGGGCCACACTGTCTCACACCACCATGTGGGCCACACTGTCTCACACCTCCATGTGGGCCACACTGTCTCACACCTCCATGTGGGCCACACTGTCTCACACCTCCATGTGGGCCACACTGTCTCACACCTCCATGTGGGCCACACTGTCTCACACCACCATGTGGGCCACACTGTCTCACACCACCATGTGGGCCACACTGTCTCACACCTCCATGTGGGTCACACTGTCTCACACCTCCATGTGGGCCACACTGTCTCACACCACCATGTGGGCCACACTGTCTCACACCACCATGTGGGCCACACTGTCTCACACCTCCATGTGGGCCACACGGTCTCACACCTCCATGTGGGCCACACTGTCTCACACCTCCATGTGGGCCACACTGTCTCACACCACCATGTGGGCCACACTGTCTCACACCTCCATGTGGGCCACACTGTCTCACACCTCCATGTGGGCCACACTGTCTCACACCTCCATGTGGGCCACACTGTCTCACACCTCCATGTGGGCCACACTGTCTCACACCTCCATGTGGGCCACACTGTCTCACACCTCCATGTGGGCCACACTGTCTCACACCACCATGTGGGCCACACTGTCTCACACCACCATGTGGGCCACACTGTCTCACACCACCATGTGGGCCACACTGTCTCACACCTCCATGTGGGTCACACTGTCTCACACCTCCATGTGGGCCACACTGTCTCACACCACCATGTGGGCCACACTGTCTCACACCACCATGTGGGCCACACTGTCTCACACCTCCATGTGGGCCACACGGTCTCACACCTCCATGTGGGCCACACTGTCTCACACCACCATGTGGGCCACACTGTCTCACACCACCATGTGGGCCCACACTGTCTCACACCTCCATGTGGGCCACACTGTCTCACACCACCATGTGGGCCACACTGTCTCACACCTCCATGTGGGCCACACTGTCTCACACCTCCATGTGGGCCACACTGTCTCACACCACCATGTGGGCCACACTGTCTCACACCTCCATGTGGGCCACACTGTCTCACACCTCCATGTGGGCAACACTGTCTCATACCACCATGTGGGCCACACTGTCTCACACCACCATGTGGGCCACACTGTCTCACACCTCCATGTGGGCCACACTGTCTCACACCACCATGTGGGCCACACTGTCTCACACCTCCATGTGGGCCACACTGTCTCACACCTCCATGTGGGCCACACTGTCTCATACCACCATGTGGGCCACAGTGTCTCACACCACCATGTGGGCCACACTGTCTCACACCTCCATGTGGGCCACACTGTCTCACACCTCTATGTGGGCCACACTGTCTCACACCTCCATGTGGGCCACACTGTCTCAAACCTCCATGTGGGCCACATATTAATTTGTAAATGAGTTACAGGACTTGACTCTACAAGAACAACTTGAATAACAAAACACTTGCCTCTACAGGAAGCACTTGAACAACAAGAGCCCTGAGCTCTGCACACAACAGTCAAGTATTGACCGGGAGTCCTGACTGGGAGTAGTGACCGGGAGTATTGACCGGTAGTATTGACCGGCTGTATTGACCGGGAGTATTGACCGGGAGTATTGACCGGTAGTATTGACCGGGTGTATTGACCGGGTGTATTGACCGGTAGTATTGACCGGGAGTATTGACCGGTAGTATTGACCGGGCGTATTGACCGGGAGTATTGACCGGTAGTATTGACCGGCTGTATTGACCGGGTGTATTGACCGGTAGTATTGACCGGGCGCATTGACCGGGAGTATTGACCGGTAGTATTGACCGGTAGTATTGACCGGTAGTATTGACCGGGAGTATTGACCGGGAGTATTGACCGGGAGTATTGACCGGGCGTATTGACCGGTAGTATTGACCGGTAGTATTGACCGGGAGTATTGACCGGGAGTATTGACCGGGAGTATTGACCGGGAATCCATTAACACCACAGACACTCACGAAAGGAGAAAAATCGTGTCCATTCAGGAATGGAACCCGGGAGCCCTCCCTCTCGATCACCCCTCCCTTTCCTTCCCTCTCCCTCCCTCTGGCCTGCCCTCCTTCCCTAGCCTCCCTTCCCTGCCCTTTCCTTCCCTCCTTCCCTCCCTCCCTCCTCCACTCATCAAGATGTGAGGTATTCACACTGTCAAGTCTCCACTACTTTCCCTTCATTTAGGGAGGGAAATGAAGGGATTTCCCTTCATTTTCCTTCATTTCATCTATCTCCTTCCTGTATTATCCGTTAATAAATTATTTGGGTGCTGTTGTATGGCTGTTAACTTATTTTGTGGCTGATGTATTTATTTATTATCTATTTTGAACTGTTTTTAACATCTGTGGGCATTTACAAATTGTTGATTTATAATTTGAATTGGTTTTGTCTGATGTAAGATTACGTCCTCAAACAACCCTAACATATGGAGAACTATTAGTTCATGTCATAGGATTAGTCCAGTACAGTAGCATTAGTCCAATACGTCAGCATCAGTCCAATACGTCAGCATCAGTCCAACACGTCAGCATCAGTCCAATACGTCAGCATCAGTCCAATACGTCAGCATCAGTCCAACACGTCAGCATCAGTCCAACACGTCAGCATCAGTCCAATACGTCAGCATCAGTCCAACACGTCAGCATCAGTCCAACACGTCAGCATCAGTCCAACACGTCAGCATCAGTCCAACACGTCAGCATCAGTCCAATACGTCAGCATCAGTCCAACACGTCAGCATCAGTCCAACACGTCAGCATCAGTCCAATACGTCAGCATCAGTCCAACACGTCAGCATCAGTCCAACACGTCAGCATCAGTCCAACACGTCAGCATCAGTCCAACACGTCAGCATCAGTCCAACACGTCAGCATCAGTCCAACACGTCAGCATCAGTCCAATACGTCAGCATCAGTCCAACACGTCAGCATCAGTCCAACACGTCAGCATCAGTCCAACACGTCAGCATCAGTCCAACACGTCAGCATCAGTCCAACACGTCAGCATCAGTCCAACACGTCAGCATCAGTCCAACACGTCAGCATCAGTCCAATACGTCAGCATCAGTCCAATACGTCAGCATCAGTCCAACACGTCAGCATCAGTCCAACACGTCAGCATCAGTCCAATACGTCAGCATCAGTCCAACATGTCAGCATCAGTCCAACACGTCAGCATCAATCCAACACGTCAGCATCAGTCCAACACGTCAGCATCAGTCCAACACGTCAGCATCAGACCAACACGTCAGCATCAGTCCAACACGTCAGCATCAGACCAACACGTCAGCATCAGACCAACACGTCAGCATCAGTCCAACACGTCAGCATCAGACCAACACGTCAGCATCAGACCAACACGTCAGCATCAGACCAACACGTCAGCATCAGTCCAACACGTCAGCATCAGACCAACACGTCAGCATCAGTCCAACACGTCAGCATCAGTCCAACACGTCAGCATCAGACCAACACGTCAGCATCAGTCCAACACGTCAGCATCAGACCAACACGTCAGCTAAAGTGCCGCGCATTAGGTGGCGGAATGTTTATTTGATGGTCCAAAATATTTGCATATTTTGACTTCTGGAGTTGATCCCAATCTCTCTAAGTGTGTGATCCACTCTTTACCCCTGGCGGCGCCTCTATTGTTGTTGGTGAGGTCTGTACCTGGTGACATCTCTCTACTGGTGAGGTCTGTACCTGGTGACATCTCTCTACTGGTGAGGTCTGTACCTGGTGACATCTCTCTACTGGTGAGGGCTGTACCTGGTGACATCTCTCTACTGGTGAGGTCTGTACCTGGTGACATCTCTCTACTGGTGAGGGCTGTACCTGGTGACATCTCTCTACTGGTGAGGTCTGTACCTGGTGACATCTCTCTACTGGTGAGGGCTGTACCTGGTGACATCTCTCTACTGGTGAGGTCTGTACCTGGTGACATCTCTCTACTGGTGAGGGCTGTACCTGGTGACATCTCTCTACTGGTGAGGGCTGTACCTGGTGACATCTCTCTACTGGTGAGGTCTGTACCTGGTGACATCTCTCTACTGGTGAGGGCTGTACCTGGTGACATCTCTCTACTGGTGAGGTCTGTACCTGGTGACATCTCTCTACTGGTGAGGGCTGTACCTGGTGACATCTCTCTACTGGTGAGGTCTGTACCTGGTGACATCTCTCTACTGGTGATGGCTGTACCTGGTGACATCTCTCTACTGGTGAGGTCTGTACCTGGTGACATCTCTCTACTGGTGAGGGCTGTACCTGGTGACATCTCTCTACTGGTGAGGGCTGTACCTGGTGACATCTCTCTACTGGTGAGGGCTGTACCTGGTGACATCTCTCTACTGGTGAGGTCTGTACCTGGTGACATCTCTCTACTGG